CCCCAAAACCCCAAAACCCCAAAACCCCAAAACCCCATAAGAATAAATTATATTGAAAATTTAAAACTTAGGCTTCCCAAGCGCTCAGCTTCGATACAAGCGGAGGCCGGCTTCTTGGCTGCGGCGAGAAGTACCTTTCCATGTCAAATTTTTGGTTTCAGTAGTATGATATATTGCTTAATGGAGGAAAATTATGTTTGAAGAAGTTTCTTTTGGTATTTCTAGTAAATCCAACTATGTCTTTGTTGCTTTCCTATTAAATTTAAAGCATATCCTTACATCGTTGATGCCTGAACGAGAAATCATTCTAAAGATAGAATAGCAGACTTACGATTCACTGATATCTTCCGAACCATAAAATCCTTCACTGCGAATAGTGTTATTCAAATTACGATTTCTTCGCTTTCTCTTAGTAAATTTATTCAACAAAGCTGGTGGTAGGGGACTTTTGATTCTATTTCTCTACCTTGCAGTCTTCAGCATCTAAAGCTAATCCCTTGTTCTTACTCTTATGGATATGTTCGACCTTAACATTGACCCTATTTGCTGAAATATTTGTTGAGCTGGTTCATGACCTTATTTGAACTCGAACCCTCCAGTCCTTTTGAACTTGGCTTGGACTTTATTTTCTAAAATAAGGCCAAGACTCACATTTTCTTTTGGTTCCAAATCTGAGTGTCCAACCACTTCTCGTCCTTATTATAGCCAGTGTTGTAGAACTCTAAAGATATTCAGATGTTGGGAGTACTCTTGCTAAGCTTGTCCTCGGCTATCTGCAAAATTAGAAGCATCAAGGCTTACTCTGCTTTTGAAATTGATCTTATTTGGACACCCGTTCCATTACTTTGAAGGAAGGAATCAGGTACTTGATATCCTCAGATTTCACATTTTTATGGTCCTGGGTGACCCACTCAACCACTGCTTTTTCTATTAAGGAGGCGTTTTAGGGTCTTTTAGACATAGAATTTACCTTCTCGGGCCTATGGTGAACTTAGGGACTTACTTTTGCTTTGAATGCTCTGCTGTTTCGGGGAGCTGGTTTTTTGTGTTCTAGGAAGTCCATGAATAATTATTATATTAATGATTGGGGTTTTGGGGTTTTGGGGTTTTGGGGTTTTGGGG